ACAGTAACATCAGATTGATTCTACAGAATTATGAGCTGAAACTACATTACTTAATGTAGTGTAAATGATTATTTTCTGTACATTGACAGATGCTCAATTTATTTCATCCATAAGAAGCACGACATGTTGACGTTAATGTTTGTGAAAATTGTTGTTGAAAATTCAGCTTTTTGAAGACGTTTTCGAGCGTATTTAAATTGAACATTTTTTGCATGTTCTCGTAGATTGAATGGGAATTGAAAATTTTCCTAGATTTCTTATGGTTGGAATGAAGAGAGAAGTAATGAGTTGATGATGTAATTTGCTTCTCTTCATTCTCGTTGAATTGACTCTTATGCAATTTGCTATGAGATGAAATTGAATTGAGAAAACTTTTATTTCTTTTATGTTGAGAAATTGTAGAATTTAAATGGGACATGTTTGGGTATTTGCTGAATGGATTGAGATATCTTGTAAAATCTTAAACTTACATGCACTTTGATAAACTTTTACGAAATTCCTAGTTAACATAGATTGTAATTAATATGTGAGTTTGATTCTCACTGAGAGCTAAACCATATAAAAGTGTTTCTGGTATGATAAGGATTCGAACCAAGCGACAACTCTTACTTTTACTTCGCTGGTCGTATAGATCAATTGTGATCCGTGGCCTTAAGTGACAACTCAATATAGTCAACTTAGTCATCGTCACAAACCTAGTTTACTTAACCTTGTCAACTTTGTAGACTCTACCTAGTAAATTCAACTTAGGTCAACCTAGTAACCTCAAACTGGTCAATTTATTGAACTCAAGCTAATCAACTTAGTACGCTCAACCTAGTTAACCTAGTAAACTCAACTTAGTCAACCTAGTAAACTCAACCTAGTTAATTCAACCTAGTAAACTTGAAGAATATATCCAACCTAGTAAATTTAAAACAATCAAACGATCAATAAACCAATAATAAAAACACACGTTTCCAAAAATGTGCGTAAAACCCTCAAAACTGTCTTATTCAATGTACTACACATCCTCAAAAAAAAGACAAGCTATGTTGCACAACAAAACTCAATTAACCGCAACATTTCCTTCTAAAACCCACAAGCCAGACTCCTTGAATGAAAATGAAATGAAATTTAAAAAAAAATCAATTTAAATAAAGTCGAAAAGCAGAACTTCCTGTGCTCTTGAAATTTAATTAAGTTCTTTAACATTTTTAACAGATATTTCAGCTGTAAGGTGGAGTAAATTGTACAAAATTTTATTACGACTAGCATCTCATTATTTTTCTAAGAATAAATCAATTAAAAATGTAATAAATTTAATAAAATATTAAAATAAAAATCAGATAAAATGAAATTAACTCGTTTGCAGCATAATTAAGTTTGTTAGTCTTTAAAAACTTCTTGCAAAAAAAAATATATGTGCCAATAAAAAAGTTTAATTATTCTCCATTTATCTATCATTCATGTGCAATTTCGTATTGGAAATGTGAGTCACAAACAAGTCATAAAATTAATCTGCCTCTATTAAGGAGAAAGAAAAAACAGTTCATGATGGAAATAAATAAAAAAATAAATATTGCAACAATTACATCATTCGATTTCCGAGATTCATAATATAATAAACAAACATCTAGGGCTGGAATATTTTCGAGCTTGCACAGCAAATTAAATAGATGGAGGCTGGCCTTAGGCCTAACTTGAGGTGTTCTATTCAAATGCAATTTTTTTTGATTTAATTCAGTGTGTTAAATCTAACTCTAAGGATCCCGATCTGCACAAGTCGGTTAATTGATCAGAAATCAGCACCAAGCCGGTGTGACTCTGGCTTCATAGAGTCAAGAGAGCTTGGTGTCAGATTTTTATTTGATTAACCGACTTGTGCTTTTCGGGGTACATTTTATAGCCATAAAAACAGGCACATTTCCTTACGATGCCCTAGTAAAATACAAAACAATAAAAACTCCACTTAATTCCCTGCAAAAATAATTCACACTAAAAACCCGCAATTTCTACAATATTCCCACAGTTCCCATCTCGATCTCAGCCCATAAACATCACATCAGATTGCATTAAATTGAAATAAAAATTCAATTTACTAAGAATAATGTAAACACAGTCGTCACTGCTTCTACTGCCTCACATCGATATCTTTCTCATTTATAAAACCATTTTTTTTCTCTCATTCACTATTCCATTTCCGTTGAAATTGTGTTTTCTATGTTTTTTTATACATTCGCCTTGTCGTACTTTGTAATAGTTTTTTTTTATCGGAGCTTGTGAGAGCGAATGGCAAAAATGGAAAAAGGAAACGTTTCAAATTTAATGAATGAAAAATCAGTTTGATGTTGATGGAAAGATATATATTTATTCATATATATAATATGTTTATTGCTTACAAAGTAATGTTTAAAGTTACGGGCGGTTTCTTGATCGAGTTTGCTTTTGAATGAAATGAAATGAGTTGTAGGTTTTGTGAATGGCGAAAGTTTTTAATTGAGCGCAGTTTTGATTTCAATTAATATATACAATTTATTTAATAAATTGTACATGAGAAGCTTTCAATGATATTGTAAGCATATTCTGCCACTTTTTTGAACAACGTTATTCTTTCATTGAAGCTTAAAAACTAGTAAATCTAGAACAAATGCCAAAAAACTTTTTGAGGTGAGAAAATTATTACTTCCGCCATTTTGTATTTTAAAAAACAGTTTAAATTGAGTACACTCGTTCTTTAGTATTTGAGTGGGATAACAATGGATATATTATTCATTTTTAAACCCTAAGGAACTTTATTCTTGATTTTATTCTTAATAAACTATTCAAAACCTTCACTAAAATTCCATGCCAACAAACAATGTTAAATTCCTTTAACAAAACTCAATCAAAACACGACAAAGTCACACCACAACCACATTTCATTCCAGAAATTACAGCACTCGAAAATGAATCAAGTCAATCGCTAAAACATGTAGCAAATGCCATATCTCGAAATATAGACTACTTTTTAATTGATAAATTTATTACTCTCCTCGACATGAAGTCGCTTTTCGTGTTTCTCGCTTATTTTGTTTTCGGACTTAATGAAGTCATGTCAAGTGTGTTTCCAGAACCCGAAAAAAAATATTGTATTTTATTATTTTATATGGAAAGATATGTAGATAAATAAATATAAATATAAAATATTGTTTTTCAACATTCTTTTTTTTTCATTTCTATAAAGCAACAAAAAAAAGCCTGTACAGTCACTTAATATTTGAACAAATGGGAGAGGCAAAGAAAAAGCCACTTGAAACACTCGTTGTTGTCGTTGACGTCGACAAAAGTCATAATAATGAATGGGATCTGAATGTGAACTTTATGTCATTAGGATGTGGCTTGGGCTGAATGTTATGTGTATATACATAACATTATTTCTTTTTTTGGGGCTTGCATAGAGAATGCTTGTGGTATTAATTCAATATTCATGCTTCTAGCTGTCTCACATTGCACATATATTTTGTTTTTTATGATTATCATATTCCGTCAATAATGAAAAAATATACAATGTGACATAAACAATGCATTGGTAAGAAATGTAAACCTCTAAGCTATTAGTTAGCTTTATGATGTGAAGTCTGAGTATTTTGAAGTCATTTCGGGTGGAAATGTTGAAACTGAGGTTAAGTTTTGAAAATTTCTTCACAATTTTTTTATTGAAAGCTTTCAATGCTGTTTTAGCGCACTTTTGCCACTTTTTTGAACAATATTTTGCATTTTATTGTAGCATAAAGCTGAGAAAATAAAAAAAAACTACAAAAAACTTTTTGAGGTGAGAAAAATCATTATTTGCGCCGTTTTGAATTTTAGATGCCGTTAGAAATCATTTTTAAGTTCTCTCGATTTCCAGAGAAAACTTCTAATCATTTAATGCCTTTTAAACCCTTAAAAATGCGCTAAATATTCACATCCTCTAACATACCTATCAAATCATACTCCTTCTTAATTTTTCGACTTCTTTTTCGATGTTCTTTTTTACACAACAATATTATTTTCATCCTATTTTGAAATTTAATACTTTTCAGAATGAAAGGAATTATAAAAACACACAGCACGTAAAATTGAGGAAGATGTGACGTGACTTAAGTTGTGAGATCATGTGAATATACGAAATTTGATATGCTTGTTGAAAATAAATCTTCGCACGTTTCAATATTACAATTTTGTCGTATAATTAATATTTTTTTTTTCTCAATTCAGTCTTTTTCATTAATAATCTTAAGTAATAATGGAGTACATGAACTGTCTTGTCGATGATGATAATGAATATAATTTATATACACGACTGTTTAATGACATGACAGATTTTTTTTTTGCTTTCCTTTTAACGGCAATAAAGGAAGTAAGTTAAATGATGAAAAGAAATGAGAGGTCTTTTGGTGCTTAACGCACTTTAGTTTGGCATTTTGTGAATTTAAAAATATTAAAAAATGATTCAAACTGGTAATGAATTTTAAGATCATAAATAATGGGATTCGAACCTTAAGATTGCAATTTTATAAGACAAATTTATTTTCAAACTTTTATTTGTACAAAATATTGTGCTAAATTCAATATAATCTTAAGTTATTAAAAAAAGGGTGCAGTTTTTAAAAGCAACGAATAAGCATCACCCAAACTGCTCCCAAGTATAACTCAACCACTTAAAAATTTCACTTCAAAAAAATTAATTTTAATTAATATTTAAATTAATATTTTAATACTCATACATTGTATTAATTATTGCCTTTCATATTCACTTCACCGTCTATATGACATTTCACATTTTAACTGTAATATAAATATCATGAAATTGTAAGACGTCAATTCTAGTTAATCGTAATACTTGAAATCTCACTTTGAAATATGAATACGAGACAGCTTATATTTATTTTCATAACATCAATATTGAATTGTGTGTCGAATGTCATTTGTATGTAGGTTTTGTTTTCATCAAGACTTAGTGAAAATATAATAATTAAAATAAACAAAACACAAATATGAGTTCTATTAATAATTTTTTCTCAATTTGTCTATTGATTGATTTTTTGATAGCCGTTAATGATGATGAAGAGCTCCAACGTTGTAAGATTGATGATGAAGATTGTATCTTTGAGAATGCTAATTTAATTTTGAGGAAATATTTTAAAGGTATTAATTTATATTTTTGATGCTTAAACAATCTTAAAAGTTTAAAATTCAGAATTTAAAAATTCAATATAAATTTAAGTTTTAAAAATTAATTTTCTAAATTTTGTTTTTTGATTTTAAAAGAATTATAATCAGGAAAAATTCAAATTTAAAAAAAATGAAGAAATTCAAAAAAATTAAATTGAAGAAATTTACAAAATTAATTTTTTGAATATAACAAAAATAAATTCTTGAATTTAAAAAAAACGTAAAATATTAAATTTTGAACTGAAAAAAATTTAAAAAATTAAAATTTGAATTTGAAAATTTTTTTAAAAAAATATAAATTTAAATTTGCAACAATGTTTTCGAAACTTTAAAGAATTAATTTGAAATTTATAACTTCCAGGTCATGACGATTTAGGATTACCAGTCCTAGATCCATTGAAAATCGACGAACTAGCTGTCGTTCAAGATCTAAATGCAGTAAAAGTTGACGCAAGAGTTATGGGTATGGATATGACTGGATTATCTAAAGCAAAATTAATAAAATTAAAAGGATTTGAAAATCAAGAGGTTGAAATGAGATTTGTGATACCAGCTGGTGGCATGTATGGACCTTACAAAATAAAGGGAAAATTACTAAAATTGTCAATTGAAGGACATGGTCAATTAAAGCTCACATTTAGTAAGTTCAAATCTTGATAAAAATTAAATTATTATAAATTGTCTCTCTAAGCACAAGGAACGGCTTATTTTTAGCTAATCAATGTTTCCAATTCCTGTAAACAATTTTTTTTGGTTGTAAATATCAAATAACCAACAAAAAATGCAAAGTCTCTTGAATTAAATTGATAAAACTTCAAATAATTTTTTTATTTTAATCTTGGTCATAAATTTAAAAACTAGCAACTTAAAATTAATTTATTTTTGGTTTCCTACTTTCCAATTTAGCAAATATGGATATCGGATTAAAATTCAAGCTTGTTAACAAGACAGTTGACGGAAAGACATATTTTCATGCTGTAAAACCAAAAATGACAATGTCAATTACAGGGTATGTGCTGTTTTAAGTTTTTTGTTTATTATAAGGTTATTAAAATAATGAAATGAGGGGAATTCAATTGGAGTGACATTTTTTTCAAGTTTTGCAACTTTAAAAGCCTCTCCCTACTCTTAAATAGCCAATAGCTTAGTAAATCTTTCGATAAAAAACGTTAATAAGACTTTAAAACTAATTCTAGTTTCTCATTTCTGATGAAGTGACTGACATCAATGAGAATTTCTATAGATTATTATTAACAGTTGTTTGCTCATTAATTGAAATATAAGTGTCCCTAAATGTCAACCTGCGGTCATAAAAATATTTTTTTTTATAAGCTGATACACTGTTGAAGAACATGTGACTAGTAAAATTAATTAACATTAGAGTTTTCAATTTATTTTGACCGGTAAACTGATCTCGGTACTTTAGAATCAATCCATAAAATTTAAATAAAATAATCATTGATGAGAAGCGGGTGTGGGTGCATTTGAAAATTAGGGTCAAATGCTAGTCAAAGGTACGGAACTGATAAATTAGATTTTGTTTAATTTGGATCATTTTGGATCATTTTGATCATTTTTTTGATAGTTTTTTGATAATTTTTGATCATTTAGATCATTTTGATCAGTTCCGCTCTCTTGCTGCTAGCTATGAATAATCCAGGATATTCAGTGTATGTAAGCATCCCTTTGGTATTTTAAGTAAAATGGGGCTACCCCACAGTAACCCAAAAGTAATGAATGTAGCTCGGATATTCAAAAAACTTAAAGGATATCACTGGAATCGTTCAGGGTCGCTATAATCACTTTATCGATGTCACAACTATTTCAATCAGTTAACAAATGTGAAACCCTAAAGACAAGCCATTTAAAACAGCTTAAAAACTGACCTATAACTAGATTATTAACCTTCCTTCAATTTTAATTCCAGTGGAACAGCAAACTTATCACATCTGGGCTCAATAGCAAATTCAATCCTCAATTGGAGCTTCGTGACAATAGTGAATGCCGTACGAGATACCTTCTGTAAGCCAATGTCTCAAATTTATGTGGATAAACTTAATGCAATGTTTTTAAAAGTCGCAATTGATGATTTATTTTTACAATAATGAAGAATTGATAGTAAAAATATTATTCGAACAGAATTTTAATGGCTTTTATTTACCAGTTAATTGATATTCAGTTTAAAAAAAATATATTTTAATTTTGTATGATGTTAATGAGTGTCATAGGACAGATATGCAGTAGTACTATAAATAATTATAACTTATCGTCCTTCTCTCGACTTTATTTCCCGTACACTTCCACTACTGACTATATAAATATGAGATGAATTCTAAAACACAGTCTCAAATATACATTTCATATTTCAGTGTAAAGTAGCACATTTTTTTATTAAATATTCTCACAAGCAAGTTGCGTCAGATTCTGGCGAAATGTTGTTCACATATTTTATAATCTTTATTTTATCATTTCTAAAGTGTACAACATGTGTGTTATGTAAGTATGACAACGGAGCACATTCGTGTCTGCTCAAAAATTTATTCATTTTTCACATGAAAAGAGGATCAACTTTCATATTCTTCAAAAAAGAATGAGAATTCTGGATGCTTATAGTTTTGGTTGGTTGTCTGTATGTTCTGCAGCTTAAATGTCAATAAAGTGATTATATAGTCAAATCTGGTTATATGTTTATTCCACATGGCTGTTGATAGACTTTAGGCAACAGCATATAAACCTAGTTGAGCAAAATAGTTGCTACTGGACAGCAACTTCGGTATGTAAACGAAAAAGAACAACAAAATGACGCATTAGTGCCAAGATGGCTGTTTAACTGAGGACGAAGTTAATTTAGATTTTATGCTTAGCTAAGCCGACTAAAACCTGTCCCAGCAGAGTTTTCAGATAGAACCTCGAGATAGGTTCCTCACCAGAGCATGGTAGCTCTTGCCTTTGATATGAAATTGATAGGTGACAACTCTGGTCCCCATAGACACCACCAAGTATCCTTAACATTAACCAATACTGCTCCGATCCCAAAACTCAACGAGTCCTCAATTCCAGTATAACAATAATAATAATAATAAAATAACATCCTCTCCAAAACAGCATCTTCAAGCATTGAGAGATGTAAAGTGAGTGACGAGACGTGCATATTAAAAGTGGCAAATGATGTACTGCATGGGAGCTATGAAGGTACTTTTGCCTCAAAGCATTTATTTTTTTTACTCGAATAATAAATTTTCTCATGCTTCTGTATCTACAGGAAATGCAGATATTGCCTTACCGTCAATTGATCCCTTAATATCTAAAGTTATGCGAGTCGTTCAAGATTCAGGTCCTGTTGTGATTGAGGCAACGATGACGAATTTTGAGATTCATGGATTTTCGAAAGGAAAATTTAAGAAGTTTAGAGGATTTGACAAGAATGTGCTTGAAATTGAATTAAAGGCACCTTCTGGTGTATTTAAAGGTCCGTATAAATTAAATGGAAAAATTCTCATCATTCCAGTGACTGGTGAAGGCACAACAGATACAAAATTCAGTAAGTTTATATCATTTTAATAATTATTGATTAATAAACTTTTAAATAATCAACAGTCGATCTAAACATGAAAATGACGCTGCCCTTGACAAACACAACAAGGAATGGCAAAACATACTACAAAATTGTCAATCCAAAAATGACATTTGACCTTCCTGGGTAATTAATGACTGTGATTATGAAATAATCTATGCAAAATTTGTGACAAATTTATTTCAATCAACAGCGGCGACATCTATCTATCGCATTTAAGTTCTTTTGCTAATACATTCATCAATTGGAGTTTTGGAATTGTGGTTAGTGCTCTCAAAGGTCCAGTCAGCATACCGATGGTTCAACTTTTTGCTGAGAAGATTAATGCTGTGTTTGATAAAGTGCCGTATGAGGAGTTATTTCTTGAATCTTGAGAATTATTAGGTGTTATGGGTATTGTAAATATTTGTAGGTTTGTCAATAAAATAATTTTGTAATTATAGATTTGGGGATTGTTGATAGTGATGTGGATTGGGAATTTATTGTCATTGAGAGCCTAGTTGTGCCTCCTGTTAACTTTAAATGCTTGATGGTTATAGGTTTTTCAAAGAAGATTGATGAGATTTGAACTTGTGTTTTTCAGTCAACTGTGAACTTGTAAAAGTTCTGAATCTGCTTGAATATTTTCAAGTTGCTGTGCGTATTAGTGTCTCTAGAAATTGGAGAATGGGCGTCTCTAGTAAAACAAAAACCTTGACCTATTTATCAACTTAATTTTTTATTTAATCGTGTTTAAAATAAAGAAGTTGCAAAACTTCAAAATTAAAAATGACTTCTCTTCAGGGTTTGAAACTCTTTCTCAAGAAATTACAGCACCACTTGATATTTAAGGAGCATCGCCACATTTTTTAAAAGATTTGAGAATTTTGGAGCATGCAAGAACTGTTCAAGTCAATAAACTGATAATATTAAAAAAATATTATCCACTTTTATTACCTATAAATTTGCATTTAATAGTTTAAAACCTGATATTCACAAAATTTGTTTCAGTTTTGAATCTTTTAGCATTCAAGCCAGAAGTGTTTTATTAAAAATGCTGAAATTGTTGCATTTTGTGGTTCTTCTTGCATTTTGTGATAAAATCTTTGGATTACGTGAGTGTGAATGAGCTTTCAATTGCTAATTAAAATAGATTTTAATTATTTTATAGCTAATGATATTGAAAAGTGCAGAATCAATGATGAAAGGTGTTTGATAAAGTCATCAAATAAGGTTCTGAAAAAATATTATGGAGGTGATATTATGAACATTTTGTGAAAACCTCAAATATTAATCAATACATTTCCAGGAATCACGGAAATCGACCTTCAGTCTCTCGACCCATTTATGGCTGATAAGCTTAGAGTCCTTCATGATTATGGAGTCATTCAAGCCAATGGAACATTATGGAATATAAACTTGTTTGGCCTTAAGAGTGCCACAATTGAGAGAATTTTTGGATTTGATAAAAATCTTTTAGAAATTCATTTTAAAGTTCCAAAAATTCATTTTAAAGGATTGTATAAGGCTCAAGCATCTGTTTTTGGGTTTCATTCTGAAGGCGAAGGGATTTTTACCCTCAATTTTTGTAAGTTTATTTATGGGCTTGTTTCAGTACACCAAAAAAAGGATGGAGGTATTTTAAATCTCAAATCCAAAGCAGCATAATTGAAAAATATTACTTGGAGGTTCCGCCACCGAGTGATTTTCTAGCACCAAATAGATTTCATGTGACTATATGGTCATGTGGAATCCAATCAATTATTCTGCTCGGGAATGAATCGAATGAATACTAAGAACAATAAGAACCTATTTAATAACTCTGGTATTTCTCATATTAGACGACTTTAGTGCCAAATTGATTATAAAACTTCAACCTTACACAAGAAATGGAAAAACTTATTTTAAGACTGTTGGATCAGACATGTCATCTACTGTTAGGACGTGAGTAATTTTGGAATAAATCTCATAAATCATCAGAAGATTAGCTAATTAGCAATTTTCCAATGGAACCGTTCACTTATGATGTCCAGGTGGGGGGTCAGCAAGAAAAGGATAATCGAAATTCCTGGAAATCCATTGTTTATTTTTCAATGCCCGTAATTTTGGACGTCATAAGTGAACGACCTCTATTTAGTTCTGACTAAAACCATCTTAAAACTTTTCATTTTATCCTCAGCGGAGACGTAGATGCAACATCACTAAGTCGACCCTTAGCATGGCTAATAAATCAAGGTTTTGATGTAGTTCTTAGAAGTAGTATTAAATCCTATGTTGGTGATGTATGGACGCAGCACTATGAAAAAAAGGTCAACAATGTTTTGAATAAAGTTCCGATTGAGGAATTGTTTATAGTCTAAAACATAGATGGATACATGATTTTTAATAAAATCCGATAAAAATTCTTTCAAAAACTTGTTCTGAATTTTAAGTCTTTTTCAATATCCATCTTTAGGGTCAATTTTATACGACGTCTAACATTCGAATCGAAAAGGTGGAATCAAAAATGAGTTGAATCACGTCAACTTCAACCTCTGAATGTAGTTATTTGTAGATTCATAGATATAGGAATGTCTTAATAGCTAGAAACAATTTCTAACGAACGTCATAAGCAAACGATTACTTTTAGTTGATTCAGTCAACACAGAACAATTCTTAAAAATGTCAAAATATTAAAGAACTGAAAAATAAACATTTTTGCAGTATTTTTATATTTTGTAGCTTGGCATTCGAGAATCAGTGACTGTAAAAGCAACAAGTTTGTTCCCAAATGTTAGCAATTTTTCGAATCCTTATTTTTATTTCAGTTTGTGACAAAATGGTTTCACTTCGTGAGTGTTAAGTTACTTCCTCTTGTTTAAAAATATTTTTAAAGCTCGAATCAAACTGAATAACTATTAATTTTATTAATTCGAAAGCCAATGATATTGAAAAATGCAGAATTAACGATGATAAGTGCTTAGTAAGATCATCAAACAAAATTCTAAGAAAATATTATGGAGGTGACTTTAGTTGAACAATTTAAAATCAATATTTAACATAAAAACTGTGCCATTAACTTCCAGGAATAACAGAAATCGATCTTCAATCTCTCGACCCATTCGTGGTTGATAAACTCAAAGTCCTTCATGATTATGGAGTCATTCAAGCCAATGGAACATTATGGAATATAAACTTGTTTGGCCTTAAGAGTGCCACAATTGAGAGAATTTTTGGATTTGATAAAAATCTTTTAGAAATTCATTTTAAAGTTCCAAAAATTCATTTTAAAGGATTGTATAAGGCTCAAGCATCTGTTTTTGGGTTTCATTCTGAAGGCGAAGGGATTTTTACCCTCAATTTTTGTAAGTTTATTTATGGGCTTGTTTCAGTACACCAAAAAAAGGATGAAGGTGTTTTAAATCTCAAATCCAAAGCAGCATAATTGAAAAATATTACTTGGAGGTTCCGCCACCGAGTGATTTTCTAGCACCAAATAGATTTCATGTGACTATATGGTCATGTGGAATCCAATCAATTATTCTGCTCGGGAATGAATCGAATGAATCCTAAGAACAATAAGAACCTATTTAATAACTCTGGTATTTCTCATATTAGACGACTTTAGTGCCAAATTGATTATAAAACTTCAACCTTACACAAGAAATGGAAAAACTTATTTTAAGACTGTTGGATCAGACATGTCATCTACTGTTAGGACGTGAGTAATTTTGGAATAAATCTCATAAATCATCAGAAGATTAGCTAATTAGCAATTTTCCAATGGGACCGTTCACTTATGATGTCCAGGTGGGGGGTCAGCAAGAAAAGAACAATCGAAATTCCTGGAAATCCATTGTTTATTTTTCAATGCCCGTAATTTTGGACGTCATAAGTGAACGACCTCTATTTAGTTCTGACTAAAACCATCTTAAAAATTTTCATTTTATCCTCAGCGGAGACGTAGATGCAACATCACTAAGTCGACCCTTAGCATGGCTAATAAATCAAGGTTTTGATGTAGTTCTTAGAAGTAGTATTAAATCCTATGTTGGTGATGTATGGACGCAGCACTATGAAAAAAAGGTCAACAATGTTTTGAATAAAGTTCCGATTGAGGAATTATTTATAGTCTAAAACATAGATGGATACATGATTTTTAATAAAATCCGATAAAAATTCTTTCAAAAACTTGTTCTGAATTTTAAGTCTTTTTCAATATCCATCTTTAGGGTCAATTTTATACGACGTCTAACATTCGAATCGAAAAGGTGGAATCAAAAATGAGTTGAATCACGTCAACTTCAACCTCTGAATGTAGTTATTTGTAGATTCATAGATATAGGAATGTCTTAATAGCTAGAAACAATTTCTAACGAACGTCATAAGCAAACGATTACTTTTAGTTGATTCAGTCAACACAGAACAATTCTTAAAAATGTCAAAATACTAAAGCACTGAAAAATAAACATTTTTTCAGTATTTTTATATTTTGTAGCTTGGCATTCGAGAATCAGTGGCTGTAAAAGCAACAAGTTTGTTTCCAAATGTTAGCAATTTTTCGAATCCTTATTTTTATTTCAGTTTGTGACAAAATAGTTTCACTTCGTGAGTGTTAAGTTACTTCCTCTTATTTAAAAATATTTCCAAAGCCTCAACCAAACTGAATAACTCTTTATTTTGTGTATTCGACAGCCAATGACATTGAAAAATGCAGAATTAACGATGATAAGTGCTTAGTAAGATCATCAAACAAAATTCTAAGAAAATATTATGGAGGTGACTTTAGTTGAACAATTTAAAATCAATATTTAACATAAAAATTGTGCCATTAACTTCCAGGAATAACAGAAATCGATCTTCAATCTCTCGACCCATTCGTAGTTGATAAACTTAAAGTCCTTCATGATTATGGAGTCATCAAAGCGAATGGAACAGTTTATAATATCAATTTGAAAGGACTTTCGTCGACAATAATTGAAAAACTTTCAGGATTTGATAAAAATCTTCTAGAAATCAATTTTAAAGTTCCAAGATTACATGTCAAAGGGTTCTACATAGCTACTGGTAGTGTCTTTGGAATCCCAAGTCAAGCTGAAGGAATTTTTACTCTCAATTTTTGTAAGCTTAAATCTAAGGGTGTGGAACTGATCAAAATGATTAATCCGAATAGCACAAGTCGGTTTATCAAATAGAAAGCCAGCGCCAACCCGGCAATTAGCAAAGTCACACCGGCTTGGTGCCAGATTTCTAATCGATCAACCGACTAGTGCCATTCACTAAGAATGATCAAAATGGATCAAAATCTAATTTTCAGTTCTAGACGCTTGGCTTATATGAACTAAATTATTTCTTTTGTGTATCCTTGATTTGTGTTTCAAAACAGATGATTTTAGTGGCAAATTGAAAATCAAACTTGAACGATTCACGAGAAATGGAAAGGAATACTTCAGAACTGTTGGATCAGACATGAGCTCTGATGTGAGATCGTGAGTTATCCTTAGTTATTAAGATCAGGATCCTCCTCGGTTTTGCTAGTTAAGTAATCCAATGAACAAATTGATATGTTTAACTGTCCTCTACCCCATGCTTTCTTCCATCCTGTTAAACTTCTAAAATTTAAAAAGATCAATTTTCTTAGATTCTCCTATAATTATCCCTTAAATATCATTTCAGTGGAGATATGGACGCATCGTCATTAAGTAGATCAATAGTTTGGATAATAAACCAAGGTTTTGATGTGGTCTTGAAAAGCAGCATGAAAGCATATGTTGGAGATGTTTGGACTAAATTTTATGAAAATAAAATCAATACAGTTCTTAATAAAGTTCCAATTCGAGAGCTGTTCTTAGAATAATTAAAAAATGAAAATTAAAAAAAGTTTTGAATAAAATGATTTTTGTAGTCTAAAAATTAAAGTTCTGAATTTAATTCCTAACAGATCCATTAGGCTTCAAGTTTTGTTAAGATGCTCATGTTTATTCACGTTGTCAATTTAAATAAAATTTGTGGCATATGGAGACTATTTTTAAACATATTAAAACATTCATTTTCCTAGAAATTGACAATTTTGAATGAGTCAATAAAGGCTGAATTGCCAAAAATGATAGTTTAGTAGTACGCAGTTGATTTGCATCTAGATTTGAAACACTCAGACAGTTTTGCACTTGGAGTTAAAAATTGGAAAACGGTAGCCTGCGATAGATACAGCTTCAAGTGCCAATTAAGGGAGACCATGGATCACAATTGACTTGTATGGCCAGCTTAATAAGTAAGTAAGTTTGGACAACATACATATTATCTTGGAGAAATCAATCAATGATTTAAAGAAAGACATCAGTTCTTAAGAGGTCAAAAAGTTTTTTTAAACCAAAGCTCGAAGTCGATGAAATTTTGTATGGAGTTGAGTCGACTCGGAGTCACATACAAAAACGATGAAAATCTCAACTAGTCTTCGAGCTCTGTTTTGAACTAAAATGGGAAAGGGACGTGTAGTTAAAAATTGACACACAGTTTCCATAGATCAGCATGAACAACTACAACTAGTTTTATCCGTCTAAAATTGGTTTTTGACCAAAATACCTTCAAAATGTGCACATCCAAACAGATCCTAGTGTTTAAATTGATTATTTATATTCAATGTGATAAAACAGAACTTTTTAAAATTAAATTCAGTACTTTACTGTTTTTCTCTTAATCTACAAGTGCCTTTTAATGATGCTCAAATTAATCCACGTCGCCATTTTCATCATATTTTGTGATAAAATATTTTCATTACGTAAGTAAATTAATAACTTTTGACTAGCTTTAATTTTAATTCTATAAATTTACAGCATATGATGTGGAAAAATGTAAAATTGATGACGAAAGTTGCTTATTAACATCATCAAATAAGGTTCTTCAAAAATACTATGGAGGTAAAATCTTCAACTTTCCTCAAAATTCAATCAAACTTTAATAAAATCAAACAAATTTAAAAATTCACAGGAATCCCAGAAATTGATCTTGCATCACTCGATCCCTTCCTTGTCAATCAATTTTTCGTTGATCGTAAATATAGCACGATTAAAATTAAGAATGGAGACTTTAGTAATATGAAAATGCGAGGTCTTCAATCCGCAACAATTGAAAAGATTTCAGGATTTGATAAGGATCATTTGGAAATTGAATTTAAAGCACCAAAGTTAACTTTTACTGGTTCTTTTAAAGCTGATGCGAAAGTCTTGTTCTTTCCTATCAATACTGATGGGGAATTTACATTGAAATTGTGTAAGTTTTGACTAGAGTTGCAATCTGTCACAGGTCGACGAAAACAGCTTACCTGTCACAGGTCGCCACCTGTTTGTAAGGTCACCTCTCAACGGATGGCATGTTTACAGGTGACCTGTGAAACAGGTGGCAGCCTGTGACAGGTGATCTTTTGTCAGGACCTGTCACTTGTGCCTGTGACAGCAACCTGTCGTTGATACTCTGGTTTTGAGTTTAGAATTTGCTTCCAAATTTTGTTTTAATTTCATAGACGATTATGATGCAAAACTCAACATCAAACTTGATCGTTACACAAGAAACAGAACCAAATATTTCCAAACAACTGGATATTGCATCCATTCGACTGTTAGAACGTAAGACTAAGGTTTATTAAATTTGAATCATTTCTAACTTGATCCTACAACTTACAGAGGAGATATCGACTCGACTGGCGTTCCAAAAATTGTCAATTGGCTGATAAATTTGCATTTCAATAGTTTATTTAAAAGCAGCATTCAATCATTTGTTGATGATATTTGGTCAGCTTATTACGAGAAAGCCATTAATGTTATGTTGACTAAAGTTCCGATCGGAGAACTGTTTACTTGTGAGATGGACAGAGATGGTCATTAGTCAGCTTGAATCATATCAGCTTGATTCTTGTCAACTTTCTTGTTGTTTTTCAATTTTTGTAAAAAATGAATCGCAACTTTTTTAAATAAATTTTTTGTTGAATTTTAAAGCTTAATTTGATTTTTATTTAGAAAAATCAAGAATTTCCTTACAAAGTTTAATTTTTGGTCATTTCTGAACAGCTTTTTATTTAAATGACCTAGTCTTCTTTTAGCCAGCCTGGTAAATCAATAAATAAATATAAAAGGAATATAATCGATAATATTACAAATTGAGTACGATCAAACACAATTAAACTGTTTCAGTCATCAGTTGCTGTTTCTTTAAACTACAAGTGTCTATAAAGATGCTCAAATTATTCCAATTTGTTATTTTTATCATAGCTTTTAATAAATTATTTGCATTTCGTGAGTTGTTTTAAACTCTTTAAGTCTTAAATTGCTTATTTTGTCTTTTTTGAAGCTCCTGATGTTGAAAAATGTAGAATTAATGATGAAGATTGCTTAGTAAGGTCGTCAAATACTGTTTTGAGAAAATATTACAATGGTAAATTGTAGATCAAATTTTTAATCCTTTGCTAATCAACAAAAGATTTGTAGGAATCACGGAAATCGATCTACAATCCCTTGATCCTTTTATGGTTGATAAAATCAAAGTTGATCATGATTATGGAGTCATTCAAGCTAATGGAACCATTTTTAATATCAATTTGAGAGGACTTTCGGCAGCAACAGTTGAGAAGTTTTCAGGATTTGACAAAAATCTTTTAGAAATTCATTTTAAAGTTTCGGAATTCCACTTTAAAGGATTCTACTCAGCAACAGGTGTTGTCTTTGGATACTCTAGTCATGATAATGGAATTTTTACGCTTAATTTTTGTAAGTCTTAATTCACTTAAGTCAGTTCTTCTTATATTATTATTTTGCTCATTAAAACAGATGATTTTAAAGCTAAGTTGACAATCAAACTTGAAAGGTACATGAGGAATGATAAGGAATACTTTAAAACTGTTGGATCAGACATAAGCTCTACTGTTAGAACGTAAGTTTATTCAGACTATTTATGAGCTGGTTTCTAGTGGTACTTGGTGAACTTTACTTACTTACTTCGCTGACCATACAAATCAATTGTGATGAATGGCCTTCCTTAGATGGCGTCTGAAGCTGGCGCTTTCGCTAGCTACCATTTTTCAATTATCCAAAACATACTTGGGCGAACATGACCCTAGTAATGAGATGCTGAACTTTAGGGTAGTCCCAAGTAGTCCTAGAAACCAGCCTTATTTCTCCCACAAATATTGTTAATATAAAATAATTCTCAATTTTATAGTGGTGATCTCGATGCAACCACATTGAGTCGAGCATTAAATTGGATATTAAATAAAAGTTTTGACTTGATTCTCAGCTGCAGTATGAAATCTTATGTCGGAGATGTGTGGACGGAATATTATGAAAAAGCTATAAATGCAGTGCTATCGAAAGTTCCGATTGAAGATTTGTTCATTGTTGATTGATTCGAATAAAGTTGTAAAATTAGAGTTGAAATAAAAAAAATTACAAAACTTATCAGACAAGTTTAAAGAAAACTTTAAAGACATGAAACAAATTCTGATCAATTTGTATCCAACATCAAGCACATATGACACTTTAAAGATTCGTTGAATTTGGGATAAATTTAGATTATTTGTAACCTCAATGATTCTTTGCATTGAATAAAGTAAAAGATTCTTAGAAACATCAACAGAACCACAATTAATTGCCTCCTATAAATTTAATATTTTGATAATTTTTGTCATTCGTTAGCGACTAGCTTTTCGAAATACAAGCATTTTATAAAAAAATGTTTAAAATTTTTTACTTCGTTGTTTTTATTGTGGCTTATTGTAAAATAATATTGGCAATCCGTAAGTGATATTGACAGGGGTATAGCAAGGATGTCTAGTGGCTGGAGGAATATTAGTCATTTTTTCATAGTACCTCGGACAAAATCTCAAGTTGGACTACCCTTGCTATGTCACTGGATAAAGCAGTGTTGTCCAAACTTGTGTTTGATTTTAGTCATGGCTTACCTCTAAGGTGTGCTTTGACTCATAAAGTTTGGACAGCACAATGATAAATAGTGCGTTTTAAATCAGTGTTGATACAAAGTTGCCTGTGCCCAGGTTTGCCTTTGATATAGCAAAGTCATGCCTTTGCAAAGGTGCAACAAAAGCAAATGCAAAAAAAATAATGCCTTTGACAAAGGCAAAGGCTCGGCCTTTGATTTCAAATTTCCTACGCTTAGGTCCACCTTTTTAAAGTCAAATGCTAGGTAGGACCACTTGTTTTTATCACAATAAATTTGTTTTCCAGCTAATGACATCGAAAAATGCAGAATCAATGATGAAAACTGTTTGTTAAGGTCGTCAAATAAGATTCTAAGGAAATACTATGGAGGTGACTTTAAAATATATTTTAAAAAAGCTACAAACTTTAAAAACATTCAAATATTCCACAGGAATCACAGAAATGGACCTTGCACTCCTTGATCCTTTTATAGTTGATAAAGTAAAGCTCAATCATGAATATGGTGTAGTTAAAGTCAATGGAACTGTCTATAACATCAAGTTACAAGGTCTTGCGACGACAACAATTCAAAAACTTTCAGGATTTGATAAAAATCTTTTGGAAATTCATTACAAAAATACGAAATACACATTTACTGGATTTTTTAAAGCTAAATCTGAAATCTTTGGATTTCAATTAAATACCGCGGGAAGTTTTTTGTTGAATACTTGTAAGTTTAAATTTTAAAAATTCTTCAAAACTTTAAATTCCATTTTCTAATTGACTAGATGATGTTGCTGCGAAATTAATAATCAAACTTGAACGATACACAAGAAATGGCAAGACATATTTCAGGACAAATGGATTTGATGTCTCTTCCACTATTAAATCGTAAGAAATTGATGCATATTTATTAAAATATAATATATCAATTGAAATTTCATTACAGAGGTGATCTGGATTTAACTGGAGTGAACCGAGCTCTAATGTGGCTTATAAATGCAAATTTTAATATTATTATTCAAAGCAGTATTAAATCTTATATTGGAGATGTATGGGCAGTTTATTATGAAAAAGCCATCAATGCAATGTTGACAAAAGTTCCAATAAGAGAACTTTTTCAGTGTGAAACTGTCGACGAAGGATCTTTGAGCAAATCTAATGTTAAGATTGACTCTTGTTCACTTGAAAATTAATGATGTTTAAAATAAATTTTATAGAATAGGAATAAATGTCTTTGTGCTTTGATTTTCAGCCTAGACCAAAAATGCGGAACTGATAAATTAGATTTTGATCAATTCTGATCATTTTTGATCATTTTAACCAGTTGTGCACCCTTGGCCTAGGCAGCATAAGCTGCAGCAGTAATTCATCAATATAAATTACCTGATTCTGGTTTCTAGAGCTATCCAGTGGAATCCTGGTGTCGGATTAATTTTATTTATATTCTACCCAAGGGAGCCTCGAGGAGACTTAGAAACCAGGCTCTGGGGTTGATTTCTAGGTCTTCATGAAAAACCACACACTTAATTAATGTATTAAACTAAAAGATTTGAAAAAAGTTATTAATGACTATGTTGAGTGCCCCTTAAAACAGTCCCCTAGCCAAAAAGTATAGTAATCTTAAACTTGGATGAGGAATCATATTTGGATCATTTTTGATCAGTTCAATACGTTTAGCTCCAATCAGAGTTGCGATACAGGTCGCCTGTCACAGGCACAGGTGACAGGTCTGTCACAGATATTGTCTGTCACAGATCTGTGCCTGTGACAGCCAAAAAAACAGGCACTGTCTATTAACAAGTAAGTGACAGGTGATTGCCTGTGACAGAACACAAATCTGATCTAAATTCATGTAATTTGATACAATAAAGGCTCACATTAGTAATCCAAACAACCATATGTTGTGTACGGTTTTGTGTATGGCTTAACATCAAGTTGGGTCTTGGCTTAAAAAGGTTGTCCACCACTGGCTTACAGAATTAAACAAATGATATTTAAAAATATCAAAATAAAAACAAAAATATATTCTCAATATTAAAGTTTGAACCCTACAAGCTTGACATTTAAGAATTTATCTCACTCGTGAGTGACTAGTTCTTCAAGATACAAGTGTTTTATACGAGATGCTTAAAATATTCCAGTTTATTGTTTTTTTTGTAGCTTTTGATAAGATATTAGCACTGCGTGAGTTAAGATGTGTCTTTCGATCACAATATTATTGAAATATTTCATTTTACAGCTAATGACATTGAAAAGTGCAGAATTAATGACGAAAACTGTTTACTAAGGTCGTCAAATAAAGTTCTTAAAAAATATTATAGAGGTGAATTCAAAAATTATTTTAAAATATCTTCAAAGTTATAAAATCCTTTAAACTGTTCACAGGAATCACAGAAATTGATCTTGTACCCCTCGACCCATTTATGGTCGACAAAATTAAAATTAATCATGACTATGGTGCAATCAAAAGTAACGGAACCGTCTACAACATCAAGTTGCATGGTTTTGCGACCACGACAATTCAAAAAATTTCAGGATTTGATAAAAATCTTTTAGAAATTTATTTTAAAACGCCCAAGTTTTCATTTACTGGATTTTATAAAGCCAATTCGGATGTTTTGGGATTTCCAATAAATGCCGAGGGAAATTTTTTGATGAATTTTTGTAAGTTTGAATTTTAAATTATTAAATTATTTTTTAAGTTTTTCCTTGAGCAGATGACTTTGCCGCCAAAATTAGTATCAAACTTGAGCGATACACAAGAAATGGAAAGACTTATTTAAAGACAAATGGATATGACATATCATCTACTGTAAGAACGTAAGTCGAGTCTTATTGAACACAATAAATAGAATTTTTAATAAACAAAAAAATCTTTCAACAGAGGAGATCTTAATTCATCAGGTGTAAGTCCGGCTGTAAATTGGCTTGTTAATGCTAGCTTTGATCTTGTCATTAAAAGCAGCTTAAAATCTTATGTTGGCGATCTATGGACTGTATATTATGAGAAAGCTATCAATGCAGTGTTGACCAAAGTTCCAATTGAAGAGCTATTTTTGAGCTAGTTTTAAATTTTTGGTACATATTTTATAAGATTTGTGAAAATTGAATAAAAGATGTGATAAAAAAGAATTTTGAGGAAGATTAAGATTTTTTGGGGAGTTTGTTAATAAGTGAACATTGCAATGCATCAAGGCAGTGATGTTCAACCCATGTGCCGCGAAATAATTTGGAAAATTCCACGAACTGTATGCAGAGTGATCATGACTTTCCACTTAGGTGTGCCCAGGCACATAAAATGTTGGATATCGCTTCATTAAAGGATCTTTAATGGCTCAATTTGGGCATGAAAGGAGAAAGATGTCAAGAGTGAATAGCAGAATATCCAAACTTCCTTCAATGGCACTAATTTTATACGCCAGGATAAAATAAGTACAGCTGAGTTGAATCATTTTGAATAGGACATGCTGATACTAGATAGAGATTATAATAATCCTGGATGTCACATTAATAAACTAATTTGGTCTGGAAGTTTACTGAATCTAAGTATGAATAACCAACATTCATGATGGGAAATCATACACGACGGGAGACCATTCTAGTATGTAAATCTTTAAATTCTGGTTCAACGAATTTTCAAGTATTCAATTTGACACCTTTAAAAATGTTATCATGACTCGTCAGAATTAATAATGTCTTTGATCAAGGTTTGGAAGCTTGACAATCTTGTCTAGTAATTGGTTTTGAAAATTTCTGTGCAATAGGTTCACTAGCATCTCCTATTACATTTCATGAAGAGGGGAACTTTAGATCATGACACATGACGAACTGGACTCCTTTCAAGTTTGGAACCAGAGCTAGTGCAATTTTCAAAATATTTAGACGGGGTCTATAGACCAGACCCATTTGGTTAAGTACATGACACTGACAACTATTTTGGCTGATTCATTTGGGGTCGTTCATTTATGACGTCCGATATTAACGGTCATTTTTCTTTACAGAATAATGGAATTCTAGGAATTTCTATTGTTTTTTTTGCTGACCTCCCTCCCCCCCCCCCCCCCTCCCTGGACGTCATAAGTGAACGGCCCCTTAGTAAAATCCAATTAATTAAAATATATAACTAGTTTTGATTAGCAATATAATTCATCAGCTTCCCTCCCCAGCTGCTTAGAATTCCTCAGGTCAATTAACTGACATTTCTCAAAAATGTCAAAACTTAAGCAGATATTCGTTCTTAAAATAAGAGGATTATTTGTGTTTAATAAAAACAAAACTTGATATCATAAGTTTATTTCAGTAGTAAATTGCTGTTTCTTGTAGCTACAAGTGTCTTTTTTTTAAGATGATAAAGTTTTTGCAGGTTGCTATTTTTATCATAGTTTGGGATGAATTGTTAGCATTGCGTGAGTGTTCAACAATCTGTTTTGAGTTTATTAGCTTAATTTCATCTTATTTTGTAGCTAATGACATTGAAAAGTGCAGAATTAATGATGAGCAGTGCTTAATTAGATCATCAAATAAAGTTCTAAGGAAATACTCTTCAGGTGCTTTTAAATTAAAATTTATTTTTAAATTAAAATGCCAATAAAAATGCTCTTATTAATTCCAGGAATTACAGAGATCGATCTTCAATCTCTTGATCCATTTATAGTTGATAAAGTGAGATTAAAGCATGACTATGGAATTGTAAAAGCTGATGGATTAATGTATAATCTTAAAGCTTTCGGATTTTCATCTGCAACGATCGAAAAGTTTTCAGGATTCGATAAAAATTTGTTGGAAATTCATTTTAAAGTGCCAAAATTAAAATACACTGGTTTTTATAAAGCTCAAGGTGAAGTGGTAGGCTTTCCAGTTGGAGGTATTGGATCTTTTACTGTGAATTTTTGTGAGCTCAATTTAAATTTAATGATTTTTCCTTATTAAGTAATTTTGTTGTTCCTAGATGACTTTTTGATAAGATTAAAGGTTAAACTTGAACGATATACAAGAAATGGAAATGTTTATTTCAAAACTGCTGGATCAGACATTTCTTCAACGTTGAGATCGTAAGTAGCTAGTCAAGAAGGATTGGTTTAGCCTTCGTCTCACATAAATAGGTCGGACATTTTTTTAACCAACAAAGAACTGCGTTTGATAATATAAGAAATTCAAGCTTTAACACTGGGTGTTTTCCCACTCTCTTAGAAGGCCTCTCACTACCCTAAGCTATATCAAAGACCAGTGATGGAAAATTCATGTGCCGCACAAACATTCAAAAAATCCTCCGTACCGTGTGCGGTTTCGGTCATGGCTTATCACCAAGGTGTGCCGCAGCACAAAAAAGGTTGTCCACCAATGCTTAAGACCATAACTCTTTACTTCTCAACCTCCTTTCCTCATTCCCTACATCAAGAGTCCTCCTAAGAAAATATAAGTTAATAATTTACCCTAAGCTTTACTCCTAAAGTACGGATGATTGTAGATTCCTAGAAAGGCGAGCAACCAGCCCCAAATCTGGATTCGACTTCCAATTTGCCAATCAATAATAATCTTCCTTATTACATCCATCAACTGTTAAACCCTGTTTATTAAAGTTTAATTATAAATTTGTATCTCACAGAGGTGACATTGATGCTCCAGAAATCGGTCGAACTATAAACTGGATAATGAATACAAGCTTTGACATCGTGCTTAAAAGCAGCCTGAAGTCTTATGTTGGTGATGTTTGGGGATCACTTTATGAGAAAAGAATTAATGAAGTTTTTAATAAAGTTCCCATTCAAGATTTGTTTTTAAATTGACGAAAGATTTTTTTTTTTTCATATTTTGTAGTTAAATTTATAATTTTTTTATAGCATTAGTTGATTAAAATTGATTAGGATTGGAAAACGAGTGAATTTTGATCAGGTTTGTTAAATTTAAATGAGATTTGCAGTTCTGCGAAGGTTTGTACATTGAAACCAGTCCAAAAGCTAGTTTTTATTATCGCTGCTGTGGGGAACTTCGGAGATCTTCAGAAATCGGGCATAGATGTCTTAGCAGAAGCATCAAATGTAGTTCATATGAACAAATTGTGTCTCCAAGAACTCTTAGACAAAAGCTGTTGACAGAGACAGTTTTACACTTAGTATTGGTAATTGGAAAGCGGTAGCTAGCTTCAAGCGCTATCTAAGGGAGGCCAAGGATCAAATTGATCTGTGCGGCCAGAGAAGGAAGTTAGTATGAACGATTCAAAGTCTCTCAACCTGATTTAATCAACGTTGTTGTCTTTTTGCTATGCCAGCAGCTACTAAAACCAAACAAAATCATCAAACTCTAATTTACTATGATAATTAGCTTAAAATTATTCCTAAGATTATTTTTTTGTTCTCCGCTGTCATTTCCATAAACACAAAAAGTGACATACACACTTAAACCTTGTCTTATTACCCATTTGTACCAAATAAGATCAAAAGATTACACCTAAGTGCCAAATTATATTATTTAATCAGCCTGAATGTCTTACAATATAAATAAATCTTGACCGTCCTCAACACAAAAATCATCAAGACAACAGACTTAAATTTATTCATTGCTCGTCCATAACTCTCGCGATTGTAGGCAATAAAAATTCACTTTTTACCTTGCAAGTTTTGCAGAAACCATCCTTAACGCCTTGACATCAGATCGTAAAAGTCCGAAAAAAATTGTCAACTAGATAATTTATTGGCTGAGGGGGCTGTTTGTAAGTTAGGTCTGTAAAATGTGGACTGAACCTAGCTACTGTGGCATACCAGTTAAGTTGAGATTAGAGAAGAAAGAAAAGTATGGCTTCAAATCAGCCTCAATGCCTTCATACGCATCATTCAATCAATGCTTGACGTCATAAGTGAATGACCCCACTCTGCAAATCTCTGATTGAAATGTGTCTGGACTATGTTCTCGTTTAGCTTAATTTATTTTGGTTTCTCAAATATTATTTTGACGTCAAGTGTTAAGCAATTAATGGTCAGAGCTATTGTTCGGAGCAAAAAGGCTATAAAAAAACATCAAGTAAAATATAGCCTGCAAAAAAAATGATGAAATTAAAGATCGACAATTAGATAGAGGCTCTTGTATACTCAATTTTTACAGTGCTTATTAGCATCGTGGCCAGTATAAAACCTCTAAACTTTGCAAAAATTATCTCATTTGCGACTCATTTGACCGGCAAAGTGTTAGATACGATTTTATTTTTTTGTGTGCCTAGTAAGATGTCTAGATTATTTCAATACGCTGTTCTACTCGTGATTCTTACGCTTTGTGATAAAATATTGACATTACGTGAGTGTTTGATTGGAATTTTTTATATCACATAATCACGATAATATTCACACATATTTCATTTTATAGCTAATGACATTGAAAAGTGCAGAATTAGCGATGATAAGTGCTTACTTAAGTCATCAAATAAAGTGCTGTGGAAGTATTATGGAGGTGATTTCGAGTGAATTTTTTTTTATTAAAAGTGCCACTTAAAATAATGATTTTGTAGGAATTAAGGAAATGAATCTTGCACCACTTGACCCATTCTATGTGGACCACATAAAAATTGTTCAGAATGCAGGAATAGTGACTGTTGATGCGATGGCAAATAAGACAAATATTTTGGGATTCTCAAAGGCTAAGATTGAGAAGATTACAGGATTTGAAGCTGATAAGCCGGAAATATTGATTCGAGCACCTAAATTGAGCTTTAGTGGATTGTATTCTTCAATTGCGAATGTTTTGGGGCTGACGGTCAATGGAAAGGGGACTTTTAAGGTTACTTTTAGTGAGTATGATGTTAAATAGTGATTGATTGTAAGAATGTGGCTGTTGAGTATTAGTTGAGCATGATTTCATGAAGGAAGCTTCAATAATGTGGTCAGGGGATGTTCTAGGGTTGAAAGGTTATCTTTCCTTCCTCAATTTGAGCTCACAGCTTACTTTAGTAAACTTCAAGCTCTGCCATCGATTTGGTTTGTATCCTGAGTGACCAGTAGTTAATGTTGACATGTCGGAGGTTGCATTTCATTTTCTGCAAGGCTGCACACTTAGAAACCCTTGAATCCATTTTGAAAAAATCTTTTTTGTCATGCTTCTCTTAAAAACCAGTTCCTTGCATAATAAACTAGTTCTAGAAGATCAAAATTAGTTTATTTGTGAAAGAATTGATTAAACAGCTCAACTTGAAACTTAATCCTTGCTCAATGCCAATAAGTTTAGTGTTTAATCCTTTGTATTTCATTTCATTTTAGATAATTTTGTTGGAACTTTTCGAATGAAATTGGAACGATATCAGAACAATGGCAAAACATACTTCAAAATCCTCAACTCGAAGCTGACTTTTGATATTTCTGGGTAAGATTGAAATGAAATTTAATGATATTTGCTACCTAAAATTTCACAAAACTTCAGGATTAAATGTCAAAATAATTTATTGAAAATTTGAAATTTTTTAAACCCAATGATTCTCAATTTCATCTTCATTTTCAGCGGCGAAATGGATATTCCTGATCAAGGATATCTTACAAATGTATTCCTGAATGCCAGCTTCGATGTGATCATCAAGAGGAGTTTAATAACAGTAATCAGTGAAGAATGGACGAAATTCTTTGAAAAAGCAGTGAATTCAGTCTTTACCAAGGTCGCTATTGAGGATATGTTCCAAGCTTAGACAATAATTACCCCAAACACTAGTTTTAAACACAGACAAGAGAAGTTGAACGAGACGAAATCATAATTATGATTAGTTTAATGAGATTAGCTGCTGGAATTTTAAATTCATATTCTACTAGAAACACGATATTATTAGGTTCAATTTTTTTTTATAATTTTATAAGTAAGCAAATTATTTGTAGAGACAATAAATGATTAAATGAATTAGAATATTAATTTATTATTAAGAATCAGGTGCAAAACGCAAAATTATTAGAAATGTTTGATCCTTGAGTCACTAGCCCATCTCATTTTTAGGGTAGGATGTGGACTAGAAACTAGCCTTAGATCTGCATTTAGCTTGAATCTTAGTTCATACCTGTAGATCTCCTTATAACTGCTGTATGTGTGTATACACTAATGTGAAACAAGTTGGGTTCGATGAGAATCGAACCCATGATCTCAAAAGAGACTGCTTCAGACCACTCGATCCTATGAGATTCTGCCACTCGGCTCCCGAGGGACTTACCTCACTTCTGCTATCCGTCATACAGATACAATCAGTTTCTCAGTAATCCCTATGCTCAGGCTTATCTACTTCAAATATATTCTTCAATCCATATCATTACTACCAAGGGTGCTGAACTGATGAATTACTTTTTGATCATTTTCGATAATTTTATGAGTTTCTAAGTTAGACTAAGCCGAGGCTCGGAAACTCGGCGGTATTTGTATGGAATTGAGCAGTATTTGTAGTTATTTGTATAAAAGTTGGCTGTATTTGGTGGTTTACCGTCTAGATTCCGAGCCTGGGACTAGAGAATTTCGTCCAAATTTTGGCAATTCAAAGAAATCGACTCATTCTTAGCACGCAATATTTCTGAACTCAATAGTTTGCAAAAAAATCAGCCAGTAAGAATAGTAATTCACTCAAAAATCATCCAAGAGTTCATTACAAGCCTCCTCAAAAAATAAATTTTGAATGACTCATTATTCTTTATGTGTTCTTGCCATTTCAAGCGTCAAGACTCTTAAAATTTTCTCATAATAAGTACAACATCATTTAAAACATTCAACCACAAGAACAAACTGTCAAACATAGTCAAGAATATTCAAATGACATTCGTCATCATAAAAGAATTTCTTTTAATGTTCGAAACCCTCAAGAAATGCTTTTGTTGAGTTTGAAATATTTTTCTCAATTTAAATGAAATATTTGGCATGAATTTCTAAGCACAGAGAATATAAAGCGAGAGAGAAAAAAAAATAAATCATTGAATGGCTGAATGGTTAATTTACTTGTCATTCACCGCACACCACACCATCCTCCTCTACATAGCATACGCACATGTTATATTCATTTCACGAATTAATGACCCAAAAATGAACAGAAAAAAAGGGAAGCGAGAAACATGAAAATGTTCATCTCATCAAAGCAATTTGCTTAAATCACATTATGAGTTGTGGAACAAAAAGGAACCAGCTTATGTTTCATATCTTTTTATGGTCTATTCTGTTCTCTTTCACTCTGTCTTTCCCTTTTTTTTGACACTAAATTATCTATAGCAAGCACAACGGAAATGAGTTATTTTCATTCTGACTTTGGTTGTGGCGACTGGCATTATTTTTTTTTTGCTGTTTCATTATTATGGCACATGAAATAATATATAATGTGAGGAGGGAGGAAGACGATATGAACGAAAAACTCATGTGACATTTTGTGATTTTGTAACTTAACGCAACTCATTCTTAGTTAATTTAATACTATGAAGAAGCAGACATACTTAAGGAATTGACAAATTTGAAGTTTAGATTTGAATAAATATTAAGACATTAAATCTGTTAATTGACGCCCAAGTTTGACAATTGACGCCTAATGACGTTCATTGAGTATTGTGTTATATTCATTGAAGACTCTAGATTCGTCTACTAACGCTGTGATAAGTCAAAAACTTATTGATTAAATTCAATAGCCCTTAAAATGTCTTTTGACCCTATTGTTAAGTTTCGTAACCCTAAATATACAAAAAGAAATATACAAATATCACTAAGACGTACGGGCAGAGGGGGGGGGGGGGGGGGGGGGGTTAGTGTCAGCAAGAAAAGAACAATAAAAATTCTTGGAAATCCACGAAATCCATTATTCTTTTTTGAAAAATTACCGTTAATTTTGGACGTCATAAGTGAACGACCCCTATTTGGTTCTGGATATATTTACACCGTACCATCAAAAGTCTTATGGATAGACCAAAATTTGCTTAGCATAAGTTTGAAGGTATAAAGCTTTCGAGTCAGCTGAGCTTCGCTCAGCATAAGTATGAAGTGAAAACGGTGTGAATATAAATAAAGATTTTCAAAGAAAATAAAATTTCAGCTTATGAGAATGTCAAACATTGTTCAAGCTTATAAATATTCATGAGGTGATGCACATCATCGATGATTGATTATTTGACAATCAGCACATCTCATTAGTATTAACAACGGCTTTATTAAAATGAAAATTTCTTCTTTTTTTCAACATTGAATGACAAAAAATAAAATTCAGATTTTGTGTGCTTTTTGTGGGCTATCGGCACCGAAAGAAGACGCAGTTTTGTTATTTTAAATACGGGTGTGTTCATTTTAGCCATGGAATCAACAAATAAGTAGCAGTAAATTTCAAAAAAAAATGTCAATTTCAACTCCCCGCAATTTGCATTCAAACGACTCAAGAAAGCAAGAAACTGAAAAGAAATTGTGTGCGCTGATTGCATAAATATGTTACCCTCCATAAACGAATATCGACTATGAACTTCTTCGTCTCTGCTTCTCATCTTGATTCTCAATGACAAGCATTGGATGTTAATCGAATTTGATGCGCCTTTCACTCCCTTTCACATTAACAAAATGTGATGTCTTGTAGGGGTCGTTCACTTATGACGTCCACCAATTAGGTGGGAGGGGAAGGGGGGGTCCAAAATTTTTGTGATTTCTCATTTTTTAATCAGGAAATTATAATGTTTGCTGTGCCTTGGATTGGACGTCACAAGGGGGGGGGGGGGGGGAATGACACCTGTGACAGTTTTGTGACAGAGGGAGGACAAGGTCTTAAATAGGTTTTTTGATGTACGTCATAAGTGAACGGCCTCGTATATTATTGAAGGATATTGGAGGATATAGCAGAATGTTCATTGATTTTCAATAAGTGAGGGATTTTTGGATTTTTTTTTAATAAAATAATTTTAAGTAAGTTGATGTGAGGGTGGATTTAGTTTTTTCTAATTTTAGAAAGGAACAAAGCAGGATCGTAGAACGAAGTTATTGAAAAAAAGGTCAGGACACCCTTGAACCTCATGGGTTCAAACTCTCCTATCTTCGCCCCTGCTCCAAATTTTTTCATCATCACCAAAACCTTAAATTTATTCTTTACAACAGCAATTATAAAGTAACACAAACCAAAGAATAGAGCAGTAATTATAAATGAGAGCACATGGCATATACACAATAATTTGTAATGCTCATAAAGTATAAATGTACTCAATTTTTCATGCTTCATAAGTCTTTTTTTAAAAAAAAAACATATTTTTTAACACAACTTATGTCAACTTGTAAGGCATAAATGTGAATGATTGGAATACTAAATCGCACTTCAATGTAACAATTTGGAATGTTGACAGATATAATTTAAAACGTAATGTGAATAGGAAAAGAAAAATGTTTTATTGCCATTTAAAAAAATTGTTGGTTGACTACTAAATTTAGTCATAATTTTACAGAGTGTCAGACGCATGAAACTGTGGACTTAATGGCATTAAACATTATCAGAATTTATTTTGTGTGCTCAACAAAATAAGTACAAGGTTTAGCATCAGCAAACTTTATGAACATCATAAATGATTGTGGTAGGTAGCAATAACAATGCACATGACCTAAAACTTTCATGGGTTCTATGAAGATGCACAACGTGTTTGCAAATAATTGTATTCTGCAAAACGCATACACAACCCTCATCTGCTTCTGTGGCGCAATTGGTTAGCGCGTTCGGCTGTTAACCGAAAGGTTGGTGGTTCGATCCCACCCAGGAGCGTTGAATCTTTTTTGTTTTTTTTTTTTGGATAAAATCTTTAACTTCACAGATTCATATTTCATACTTTTTGTGTCTCCACCGACATTTAATTTCCATAATATCCATAGCTATCTAAATAAAATTATTATTTATCTCGGGCTCTTACTGAATTAATTTATTCATAGAGGCACTCTACTCTATTCATTTCCAATATATTCATTTATATGTGCGACACAATACGATGAGCAATTTTTAATTTCCGCAAAGCTATACCGGGGTCGGACAATGAAGTTCTGTATGTTTTAATTAACATTTTAATTGTTCAAAGGTGCGAATGCAAATTCATTGAAAATACTCCGAAAAAAACAATTGCTTAAATAATTCACATTATTGTTTATATCCTCGATTCTTTAATTTTGAGGGCATTTAAATATTCATTACGAATCTTTTGTGGATGTGCTTGCACGCAGTTGAAATTTATTTTTTTTAAATAATTATAATAAAAAATTATCTTTTTATGATTGATGGAAATCATTTATAGTAATTTTATTGAACTTCATTAAGGTAAGTCAGAGTTGTTGTGGAGTTAATTTTGAGTTTTCTTAGGTTTTCGATGAGGAATTGACTCAGGGGTAGTTCACTTGTGACGTCCGATATTAACGGTCATTTTTCAAAAACGAACAATCGAATTCCAGCAATTTCTATTGTTGTTTTCTTGCTGGACCCCCCCCCCCCTTCCTGGACGTCATAAGTGAACGGCCCTTAGAAATATAGATTATTTGATATCTTAATATCTGACCAAAAAATTTTCAATATTTTTATTGATTAATGATAAATGGTAATAAACCTAGTATTGTTCTTAATATCTTAGAACAGCCTGGAAACGAAACAAATAGCTATCCTAGTTGTGTTAAGAATACTTCTGAATTCTTTTTACTTTCCTTGGCTTCGCATAATTAAGGATTTTTTCCCTAGAATCGAAAATAATTGTAATCCATTGCATAAAAGTTGAATTAGACCAGCGGTGTCTAACCTTTTTTGTGCCATGGCACACTTGGTATTAAGCCTTAAATAAAAGCCCACAGAGCATACGGTTCGTGGAATATTCTAATTATTTTTCAAGTACCGTGGCACACGGGTTGAAGATCATTAGCTTAGATTAAGGTTGA